TGTTAATATATATTTATGACTTTATAATCTATATAATCTATATAGTTGATACAGATTTTTTTATAAATATTAGAACTGTTTAAGCTCTGTAGTCAATAAAATCACGCATCTCTTTCTTATTTTAGTGCATAACTCTGCATTATGACATTGTATGTTTCAGGTGCATGTCATTAAAAGTCAACATGTACGTACCCTACTTTCCCCTCTTTCTTTTTTTTTTTTTACTTGTAAGGAAAATTATTTTATTTTCTTTTTTATTATTATTTAAATTTTATTTTTATATTCCCCATACAATTATAACCCCCTTATTTTGACCCCAAGGCCTCCTTCCCCTCTTTCTTGCCTTACCATAATATACTTTAAAATTCCATGTCCTCTGGTGGACACAGATAGGGTGTACTGCCACAAGAAATTCTTACTATATGGGGAGTCTTCCAGGTTTATTTTAATTGTTAAAACTTGTACCTAAAGCATGTATATAGACCAGTGAGTGATCTGGGTTCTTCTTTTTCAGGTTGTCAGTGCAAATAAGTGAAGACATTTTAAAATATAAGAAACTGTTTCCACTAGCAGTTTTGATAGTTAATGTGCAGAAGGTTTATCAAATATTTGAAATAGTTTAGTATTCTGCTCATTTTTTTACAGATCCTGCAGTTGAGTCAATTACTAACTTGTACTTTTCAGAGACCCTTTCAAGGTCCTCTATCGAATACAAAGGAGTAATACCAGAGGCTCCCATTACCTCTGTTTGACCAGGACAGTAAAGGACACCTCATAGGCAGTCCAAATATAGATTCTTCTCTGTTTGCATTATTAGAAGAATTTTTGCATATTCTGAGTTTTATTTTTTGTAGCATCTCCTGTATCAAATTAAATTAACAATCTTGAATGACTGAACCAGTGCCATCTCTGTTCCTACTATAGAAGTGTTGCTACAGTGTGTTCTGTCATCAATTGTAGTTTTGAAAACTGAATTACATTTAATTATAATCAAGCAACTCATGTTGCACTTAAACTTGGGGTGTTCTTTACATTCCAGAAAGATTGTTACCAAATAGTCCTGATTTCCTGAGACTCTTTAGCAGATTAACTGAGGAAACAAGCATGTTACTGAAATATTTGCCACTATCAGAGAGATAAATAACGAAGTGTGCCAATAAAAAGTATCATTTTCATGAAAAGGTAAAATGGGCAAGTGCTGTCAGGACAAAAAAACAGAAATCTATTTTTATTAGAAGTGTCCAGTTACTAAATCTTGACACTAGATATGAGTGATGTCTACACATTTTTGTTTTGTTTTGTAAAACTGAGAAAGATTATTACTATAGTTAATATCTTAAGACAAAGAGAACATTCATGCTGTATCAAATTTAGTGTATTTGCCCCAACTATTTATATGATTGAATATTTATTATTCACCAAGTCTACAGAAATCAGGCTAGACATAACCACAGTTTTGGAGGACATATTGTCTTGACAAGCCATGGAGTTTCAATCAACTCTTTTGATTGAAGAGTTGATTGTATGCAATGAAACTTTTTGTATTGCTGGAAATGCTTTATATGAGAACTATCCAACATGGTAGCCACTAGCGGTGTATGGCCTTTTGCACTTGAATAGTGACTAGTGTGACTGAGAAAACTGGGTTTCTAATTTTATTTATTTAATTTAAATAGCTTCTTGTAGCTAGTGGCTGCCTTATGGGACAAAGGAGGTTCACAGCTTTCACTCAATGTGTAGTTCTTGCTACCATGGCATCAGCATCATCTGGGAACTTACTAGAAATGAAGAATCTTGGCTCCTACCCAGACCTACTGACTCACAATATGCATTTTAACAACATCTTTGGGCAAGTGGTATGAAAGTTTGGGAGACACTGCCCTAGAGGAATTTCAGTTGCTAATTAATCACCCATTCAGAAAAGCTGGGAATTCTCTATTTTTATCATGGACTAATGAAGAGTAGCAACATACTCATTTTATTCACAACAGAGCATTTGATGCAGTAGGAGTGCATTGTAATAGTGCTTGAATGGCTCACTTTGAATCTTTTCTAAATGTGAACAAAATGTACCCCTATTGATTGAACTGTTGAATCATCCATTCATGAAAGAAAGAGTCCTTACATGGCAGGGGCTGTGTGAGGTATATTGAGCATCTCTAGATAAATTTGAGTGTGTGTTTCATTTCTCTGCAGGGAAAAGGGAAAGAAAGAAACCAATTACTGGGTTCAGTCTTGGGACAGGGATTAAAATTCTATTAAAAATTTCAAAAACAAGGAAACATGCATCACAGGGGTTAGAATTGGAGAATGGTATTAATAAAAGTTTTTTGTACCAGGTCTTCATTTGGATTCTCCCCAAGTCAGATCCTAAAACAAGAACTTTGATACAAGAAGTCTACATGGCAGTGACCTCAAAAGCACAGTGAGTGTAGCAGGGATAATGAAACAGGGAAGAGAAGAAGAAATATATATGATATATTTCTGAGTGTGTAACAGATATGGAGAACTGGGGTTCAATCCTTCTTGGGGGCCACTTGAAAAACTGTGGGGTTTTGGGAGGAGTATGTCAGCATGTATGGGTATCACCTACCTCAGCTACAGGGGTCCTCTGAGGTGGTGGGTGTGGAGTGGGGCACCAGCTTGTCTTCACTAGAAATTGTTTATGTCATAGGAGACTACCCTTAATATGGGACAGAAAGATGCTAAAGACTATTGTAGAATGAGAACCAGGACACCCCAATCTGACTAACATTTCCTATTTAATTATTTGCCTTCAGTAAATTGCTGTGAGCCACAAAGTAGAGGGAAGGCACTGGACTTTGTAATCAGAGATATATTTCCCTCCTCTTAATGTCAGCATTCTTCTGCACCCTCCTTCATATACATATAACTGAAACTGGCCCTATCTTTCTCTTTCCCTTTCTTCTAGCAAACACTAACAATTAATTATCTGTAGTCTTATGAATCACTAAAACAGGTATAATTTGTTTGAAATTCCATCTGCATCTGTCCCATGTAGGTTTTACTACTACTAAGTTCAAGATTCTATGACTATTTCAGTGATATTTTCAAAATCAAGAGAATCAGAATGCATGGTATGATAACGGAGATTTTCTGGATTTTATATGCATTTATTTATATTCAGTTCAAAAATGATTTTGAAAACCACTTAAATAGGTTCTTAGTGCAGTAAATTCTGGGTGGAGAGAAAATAAGGTTAAGTATTTATAGGAAAAGTCTTCTAGATATAAAAATAGTACATGCAATAAGATTTTGCATTCCTACAGATAGCAAAATTCTGAAGGTTCTACTAGAACATCTAAAAACACCAAATGTGGATGATGTAATATCTGTTCACTAACTGTAAATAAAGTGTCCCTTTGGGAGATAAGATATATCCTCAATAACAGGTAAAATAAGCTTGTGAGGGAGCACATGCTATATACAGGTACCTGAATAGGCCTAGAGGGAGATTCTGTGTATATTCTAGAATGTATGAGTGCATGGGAGGCACTATGCTTGTAATTCATCATGGATAGTAAGGACTCTCTTGGAAATAGGAGCTCTAAGATAAGTTTTGAAGACTTTAAGAAAGGCAGATATTTCCAGGGAAACTGTAAATCAAGCTGGGTATGATTGTGTTGGGCTTAGGAACCAGGGTTAGATAGCTTGCCTGAAGAAGAATATCTGGCAGATACATTTGAAAACACGAGGGAGAAACATGAAAACCAAGCATAGGACTTTAGAAGTATCACTGAACAGACTAGATTTGTTACATAGAGATATATAGCAAATGTGTGCATGTGTGTGTATACAATATGTATATATATGCAACACAAAATTGTTCATGACAACAGAGCTTTATTGATCCAATACTTCATTTTCTTTTTAGTTCCATGTAAAAAAGGTGCTTTGTATTTATTATTAATGAATTCATACATTTATTTGCTTTTGTTGAGTGCCTTGTACTACTATAACATCAAACAGGCTATAGTCCCTCTTTTAGAAGAACCTGCCCTACAGGTAAACAGATTGTTACAATTCAGTGAAATAAATCTTAATGCAAGTGCTCATAAAATTATATACAGTCTAATCAGGTTCTTTAATCAATTTCCTATTTAATTCCTATTTTCAATGGATTCCCATACTTTGTATGCAGACAGAATGTCTGAGCAGGAAATCTTATGAGAGAAAATCCAATTTGTCAAATACTACAAGCCCATTTTCTATTTGTGAATAAGAGTTTAGTCTAGTAGGATGACCTGATGCAAACTGAAATGGAAATGTGGAAACCAGGCCACTCACAAGCATTACTGACAGGGTGTCACTGATTCAGGCTCCCACATTCCCCAGTTCCAAGGTCACGACCAGCAGGCAGTTCCCTGGCGAAGGAAGCCAATGTCCTTGTAGGTCAACTGACTTGTCAAGGTTGGAGATAGTGAAACTCAGACATAGATTCCAATTTGTCTTTATTTTCTCCCCGTTCATGCCCGACTTTCTTTGCCAACTGCTGGCCCTGATCTCTTGGGTCCACCATTAGATACAAGGACACCCTTTGACATCTTCACCAGTTCTCATAGTTTCGTAAGATGGAATCAGCCTAATAAACCCTGATTCCATCACACTCTGAGTGACTCTCCCTCCCTGATCATGTGCCAGTAGCAGGAGTGCCTGTTTGCTCTGCCCTTGCTTTCCCTCAGGCCACTTCCAAGCATCAAGTATTCCAGATGCCTCTGTGGGACTGAATCTCATCCGAACATGGGGATCATGGCTTTTTGTTCACCTGACCTAAAAAGATCTCAGAAATGAACACACAATTACATGTAAATTATATATTTTTAGAAATGTACACATGAATAGCAGTCCCTTCTCTACTAATGGAGCACTTACTAAAAGTCTCCTTTGTTCGTCCATTTTCTTTATTTTTTCAGAGATGATCTTCTGATTTTGCAAAAGTATGCTTAATTGAAAAAGAATCAAAATCTTTGTATTTTTAGAAAAAGGATAACGACTTTGACTGTGAACTGCTTATCTAATTATATAGTCTAATTTTCAATTACTAAGTATTTAACATTCATAGGTTGGCTCATTGCCTGCTGATGGCTTTGTTTATCCTAACCTGAACATCCTAGAGACACTGGATAAAATGATATCCTTTTTCCAATGCTGCTGGTGCTCCCTGTGCACACAGAGGGCAGGGGGAAACACAAATATCTCAAAGTCCCCAGGAACCATTTATAAACTCAATCTAGGTGTAAAAGGAGACACATTTTAGCTTCATGTGTGTGACTTCATTATATTATACATCTTCCTTACAGTATTATTATATGAAATGAATACTTCCTTCACAAAAAAATACTTCTTTTATGCTTCCACCAAAACTCATTACTACAATTTTCACAGGGTTATTGCATCTCACGATTATGTAAACATCCCTGATCATGTGGAAAATTAAAGATGTTAAATTAAAGTATTGACACTAATGTTAGTAAGTAAAGGTTGTTTCTAAGATATCAGCATATTGAAAGTTTTTCTTGATGTTAACATGTGGGTATATAAACTTAAACATATGAGATTTATTATGAACTTCACATAGTGCTTAATAGCTGTTATAATGCTTTTCTGTGGTTGCTGTATTTGTTGTGGGATAGACCTTTTTTAGTGAATTAGTTTATATTTTCAGAAATGTGACTTTAGGCACAGACCTTGCTTGCTAGAAAAAAGCATCCACAATGTTAGCAATTATTAGTATAACTTCACAGGGAGACAATAGTAGAAAAAAAGAGTACCATCTGTATGGAAGTATATTTTATTTGTAACTCAGACGTTTATGTATCCAATTTGTTTATAATGCTTGAATCTTTGAAGGTAACTATATGATATGGTTATCTTGACGTTGTGGTAGGCTTGTCATTGTCCTTGATTTGTGGCACTCAAATAACTACATGAGCTGCAGTTTGTATCTGAAATTATTATAAATGGGTTTGCATAATAGAAAAGAGCCTGTCAAAATTCCATTATTAAATAACGTCACGGCAGTAATTCTGATTAATGTAGCTGACCCTTGACAGCTCTGAGGATACTTCCAAGACATTTATGAATATACACTTTTGTAGCTGAAAATGCCCTTAATTCCCTTACCTGTAAAGTATGGCTAATAATTCTTATCTCTTGTAATGAACAGGAGTGAGTTGCCTAAATTAGCTAAATGAGAACAACCAAGCAGAGCTACTATGCACTGCACCACAATGACAGCCACTTTTACTCATCTGAGTGGCTTGATTCTTCTTGCAATCTTTATACCTCTGTATGCCTCAAATTTGTAGTTTTAAAATATTCTGCAAATCTCCATATTTGCTTATGATTATTTGAAACCAAAAATATTAAATTTAAGGGTGGCAAAAGTCTAATGAATATTGTAGTAGCATTTTTTAATGTTATCTTTTTCAATAAATGCAGTGTTTCCAAAAGCTTCAGCCTACACATTAGATCAATTCACTAAGTAGCTGAAACAAGAATGCCCTAACACAGTGCAAGGTTATATAGTTCATAAATTCTAAGTGTATCTGTGAGAGTAACAGAAAGATCGACATCAAAAAGAAAAATTTGCATCGTCATTCAGAATTTCTTAAGCTGCTGCCAGTGCATATTTTTAAAGCCTGTTTTTGTTGGACTAGACCAGTTTGACAATCTGAAAAAGAAATTTTAAACACTCAGCTGTCAAACAAGTCATGTTCCTAATAACAGACATACTAAGGAAGGACATAACTTAGAGAAATAAGACACAGGCCTGAGCTTTTCCAGTTAAGCCAGTGAGAGGAGTGGACAGAATAGCTGCAATGTGGAAAAAAAAATAATCTTGTAACCTTCCTCTCACTAGCTTATTTGTGAAACTCACTGATATGATGAATTTGCTTACATTGTTTACATGATATGCAGTTTTATATGAGCTCACTTTAACTTACCCTTAAGCAATAAATTGCCAATAATGTACAAACTGCTTTCCTCTGAAAGGTTGTGGAACCTGTTTTCAGAAAGACAGAAGCAATGATAAGGGATTGAAAAGTGCAAAGTTTCTGATATTTTTTTATCAAGATAATCAAACCCTTGAGCGAACTTTCTTGGAAGTAACAGACATTTAGTTGCAGGAAGGATCTGCAAAGTTCTCTTGCCCTATTGGAGGGGCAACAGATCCATCAAATGCTCTGCAAAAAAAAAAAAAAAAAAAAAAAAAAAACTATTCCAGTGATCTACTAAACTTGGGAGACCTCATATCCCTTGTTGTTCTTTTGGGGCATAACAATTCACATTAGCATGTTAAAAGTTTTAATATACATTGTATTAAAGGAACCATTTTAATCAAAGTTCAACCCAGTGACTCCCAAACCTATATGACCAGAGATCCCTTTTATCCCTAAATTAAATGCACTGGTAAATGTTTATTTAATACAAACTTGAATTTGTCTTGAGTACGCAGCAGCCTGTGATCTTTGGGTTAGTAGCATCAGCATCACCAGGGCTTGGTAGAAATGCAGAGTCCTGGGTTGAGCCCCATACCTGCTGAATCAGTATCTGCATTTTAACAAGATCCTTAGGCAATTCATCCTTAGGCAATCCTGCCTTAGACTCCTTAGGTAATTCATGTTCAAGTTCGTGATGCTCCGGTCTAGTATTCATTTAAATTTACCACCTTCTCTTCCATTTAAATTTACCACCTTCTCTTCCATGCAGTCAGGGATCTGCTGAAAAAGATCTCATGCACAGAATTTAAATAATTTGGGAACTTCTGGAAAGTTTTTGAACCTAAGTGGTGTCTGTGTTTACCTCCTCTTTGGCTTCTGATGCTGGGAGATGTCTTTGGAGGCCCAAGGAAACCATTGCAATCTGCTCCATTTGTTAGTGAGTTATGAGTGATGAACCGCTAGGTTACAAAACACAGATAGACAAATAAGCCTGTGCCTTTTTCCAGACACAGTGTCAGCTGGAGGAGTTTATAGAACCGGATGTATTTAACGGAAATCAGAACATGACTAACACTTCAAGAAGAGGATTTGCATATGCACAAAAAGCGCAGAGAAGTACAGAATTGCAGCTTGCTGTCAAAAATTGCAATTGATATTATAACTTTCAAATATGATTATTGGTTTTTTCTGACAGGTGAAACATTTATAAGAAATCAAAACTCTGCTCATTATGCAAAGTGCCTACAGAAGTATCGCTACCAAAAGAAACAGCATGTATACAATTAACTGAGAAGCAGTGGCAGAGGGGACCTTTCAAGAGTGATGAAAGTATTCTGTATCCTGATAGAGGTTATGTAGGTATAAGTATTTGTCAAGTTGGCACATTGTTTGCTTAAGATGTGTCTATTTTACTGTATATTAGATCAACAATATTAGATCAATAATATGAACTGTCAAGGATACTATGATGAAAATGTGCATTTTAAAATGCCCTTCACTTGGTATATGGGAAATATTTAATTGGAAGAAGTAGCTATGTGTATTTTGTAGCTGGTTCACACTGACCTCATAGTCATGCCAATAAGTGATGCCAGCCAGTTCTCCCAAGAAGCTGTGCTCTTGGCTTAGGGGATGGTGGTTTGGGCAGTGGATGTAGGCTGTCTGGGTTCAAACCTGGCTCTAGTTCTTAGTGACCTAGGATGTGTGACCTGGTATTTCTATGTCTTGGTTCTCTTGTCTGTGAAATGATGAAAATAATTTTTTTCCTGGGGGATATTTTGACAAATGAGTGATTTAATATTTGCAGAGAAACTACAATAGTCCTAGCATGTAGCAAACACGTATACATGTATTTATTTTTCTAAATAAATATTTTTAAAATTTTATTTTTAATTAATAAACTAATTTATTTTATATATTTTTACATCATTGTTCATTTTTAATTAATTTTTATTTTTTACATCATTGTTCATTTTTAAACAATATTTGCTTCTCCCCACCCCCTCAGGTATAGTCCCCATAGAGTTTCCTTCCCCAGTGCACCTGTGCACCATCACCTCAGTCCCCTGTGCTCCTCCCTCCCTCCCTCCGATCCCTCTCACTCCTCATCCCCTGAAGGATGTCTCTGGTTTATAATTGTCTGTTTTTTCTTTGTTGTGTTTTGTACTGTTACTATTTTTTACACTGATGTCTTATTTGGTTCCCCTGTATTTCTGCTATAAGTGAAACCATGCGATATTTTTCTTTTTCCTACTGGCTTATTTCACTGAGCATAACTCCTTCTAGCTCCTTCCATGTTGCTGCAAATGGTGTGAGTTTATCTTTTTTGATTGCTGAATAATATTCCACTGGCAAACACTATACACGTGTCTACTAAATAAATAAAATAACCTTAATAAAGTAGTTACAGCCACCATTACTATAAGATAGCCAGTTTTATTTCCTTAACAGCACTTATTACTATTTAAAATGATACTATTGTAAATCATTTATTTGCATGTTTATTGTCTGTTACCCACTCATCTACTTCATAAACCCCAAGACATGAAGAGCTAATCTGTTGTATTCATCATTTCATACCACCCCCACCTCAGCACTGGGACAGTACCTGATGCAGAGTAGGTGATCAATCACATCTTGAGTGAATAAATGAATTTTAAATAAAATACTAGTTTTTAATAGGAGTCCTATGATATTATCTCATTCCCTTGACTATGATTAAACTATTGTGTGTCTGTCTTGTGTGTTTAGTAACAAGTAAATAGCTTTCTGGAACTGAGATTTGTGGTTTGATAGCATCAAGGAAGTTTTTTGATTTATGAGAAAAAGCCAGTGATTGGAAAAAACATGACTTGAGCATTCCTGGTAGAAGGAATTGCCAGTTCAAAGCCTAACAATGGAATGGTTGTAGTGCATCTCAGAATCTGGACAAGGTGTAGATATCAATATTTACACTAATACTTTATTTGCTTGTAGAGAAACAAAAACTGCTTTTCAGAATACCAAAAGGCATGCCTAAGACTTCTACGATACTATCTAATTTATGTAGATTTACCTATTTTTCCTTTAGGATCCTGCATCAACTAAGATCAAACAGTTTATATTATGGTTGGGAGTCAAGCCAAATTAACAACCAAAATGTTTTAACCTTCAAATTTGGCAGATGCTATATTTCCATTAACCCCAACACCTGACTTCAAACTTCATGTGGTTAAGAACTACTCGGGTTCGTTTGTGTATCTTTTATAAGCTTTCCAGGGTAACTTGTACTTAACAGTAGTAATGAGAATAAAAAATCCAATATATTACATACTAGTAGTCTAATGATAGCAATTCATATATAGTCATGTTGAATGAATTGATTTAGAAATTAGCCCCTCCTGCAGAGGAGCTCAAAGCTCAGGATTTGTACTTAGGATGTTTATAACTGAGAGATTCTGCCTACTAAAAGGCTCTAAATCCTAAATCCAGAAGTTGTGTCCACTTCTTATAGCTAAAGACTACTTTTTAACTTTTCTAGACCTGCAATTATCCTCTCTCTGCCCCCAAAATGAAAATAAAAAACAACAACAATCCTATAGTAATGAGCAATGGATTCATTTCAAGTACCATTTAGTTATAAGATAAATTGCCCCGGGCAAAAGTTTACAACGCTACAAAATTTTTTTTGTGTTGAAGATGCACGTTTGAGTCATAGAACAGGAATTCAAATATTTATTTCTCAGGGGCTCAGATAACACACATTTATATTCAAAAGATGATAAGGTATTTTTCAGTAACACATTTAGTACATATTATTTTGTTGAGTTACAGCAGGCAGCACTGTTTTAAAATGGAGGCTTCATTTTAAAACTCCTAAAGCTTTTATGGGAAATTATTTGATGTAAGAATTAGTGTCTCAATTATTTCCTATGACAGTAATTATGATTTTTTTTTTAAACATAAGGATACATTAGCTACCTGTTGACCTATTAAAGATACTCTGGCTTACTTCTGCCTCACGTTCCATCATTTCCATAGTCTGAAGGAAATAGGGATGGTCTGGTATTTAGCAGACTATTTCCATTTCAACTCTTATCTGTGCTCAGAGGAACCTAATCAAGTCATCTAGGACAGTGCTTCTCAAACTATACTGAGTTCCTGGGGAACCTTTTAAAAGGTCAATTCTGATTCAGCAGTTCTGAGTCGAGGCTGAGATTCTTCATCTCCAACAAAGGTCACATGATGCCCTAGACAATGCTTTGAGTAGCAAAGGTCTCACAGGAAATAGATTTGTCACCCTTCTGGAAAACAACCCTCTTTTTTTTCTTTCATTTTTTAAAGAAAATTAATATTCATCCTTAAAATATAAATGCATATCCTTTACCACTGAAATGGCTGGATATAAATCTCCTAGGCAATGAGTACAAAACCAGCTAGAATTGTACACCAGCAGCAGCAATGTCCTTTAGGGTTGAAACCTTAATTTGTGGATTTTCCTTTGCAGTGAGCTAGAGTGTTATCCTATTATGCAATCAATTTCAAGGGGAAGAAAGTTTTCAAAAATTTCTTCTTGAGAAAGTACTTCTGTGCTGTTTTTAAAACTTATCATTTTTCTGGTATCTTCCAGCAGGCAGTGGGGAAAGCTGTTTAAGCTCACCCCTTTCACTTCGAACTGTATGATAACACTTTTCTGGCACCATCATCAGCACATTCTGCTTTCATGCAGAATTGAAAGGACACGGGAAGCACTGCTTCATTTTTGTCTGGGAAAACCAGGGACTTGCTGACATCATTCACTATGATTTCTTTCCCTGAAATGTTGAAGGATGATTGGTGAAAAATAAGTCATTGTACAGCCATCCTTCACTGTGGGCCAACTCATATGCTACTTTAACTCTCAGTAGTTGCTGGACAAGGGGTATAATAAATCACATTCCTAAGGAAGCTCAAAGTAGAAAATTGATGAGAAAAATGGAATTTAAATATAAGCCCTTCTTTGAAAATTACTTCAAGAAGGTGTGAGATAGATTAAATAGGAAAGCACCTTGGTGTGTAAGATGAATTCAGAAATCTCAGGGAAACACGTAATGAAGCCTCAGGTGCTAATGTTTGAAAAATGAATAAGAGCAAAAGTGGGATCAGACTTTAGAATGAAGGGGAGAAAACATTTTAATTGTAGTACATGGAAGTTCATAGGGAACTTGTTGACTGTGGATTAGTTGTGTGATTTGGGTGCCATTGCTGATTTCTGAAAGAGAAGCTTTAAAATCCTCTAGAATACCAATATTATGAACAGAAAGAGAAGATTCTCAGTGTCCACCTCAGCACTATCTGAGGATTCCATCACTTCCTTATATCTTTTCTGATTTTGCATGAGAATAGACTCCAACTAGGAGAGACCTGGCCATACCTTTCTGCCAATCTTGGACATTTTAAGTATGTTGTGGCCACCAAAGTGGCTACTCATTCGATTTTGATTTCTAGGGTGGGGACAACTGAGTGGAATGAAACAAAAAACTTCTTTAAATCTTTAATAACTAAATAAAATAATTCATAGTAAGAAGACAGGAGAATTTGCTGGTAGATTTTGAACTAGAATTTGAGTTAGAGTTTGTAGATTTTGGTGACATTTGTGGGTAAGGCGATAACAAGGACATTATCAGTCAGTGCTTTTCTGGTTGTGAGCCATTTGTGGGTTATGGATTCACTGATGGCTAGGAGGCCTGGATCATGGTCATGATCTAAATAACAAAATATTTCAGAATGATGGTCACCTGAATGAAAAACCACCCTTTTTGCCTTTTGAAAAAGAAACAGGAGAGAAAGTAGTGGGAAAATGAAGAGATTTTTTTTCCACCAAAATGCAACAAATGTTTGAAACCACATGTGATTTTTAAGTACTATAAATGGTTTCACACCATTTCTTGTAAATTTTTACATTAAATTGTTCTGTTGCAAACTCATAGCCAGATTTGTGGTGTTCAGAGCTTTATTAATTTCCAAATTATAGGTGATGGACTGTACACCTCTGTTTGTAATGTATCATGTTGGGGGACTTGAATATTCATTCTGATAGCCTCTATCTCTGGGTTTTCTGTATGTGGAGGTGTGTCCTTCACAGTGGTGTGACATTCTCCAGATAATTTAGTGTCAACAAAGATTTACTTTGGAGCCTGATTTTTCATATGAGGGTCTTAGGAAGAATAAATATTAGCTAAAATTTAATGTAAAAATTTTAGTTGAAAGGTCTTGGGTGGTGATTGAGTTGGCTATGAAAAATATTGCATAGACTTAGAGGCTTAAACAACATAAATATGTTGCCCACTGTCCTGGGGGCTGGAAAGTCCATGATAAGGTGCCAGCAAGAAGGTAG